GTTGTTCAAAGCGATGGTGATATAGATGGGGATGTTAATAGTAGAATTCAAGTTGGTTGGTTGAAGTGGAGGAATGCTTCGGGCCTTTTGTGTGATAGAAAAGTACCGCTAAGACTGAAAGGAAAATTTTATAAGATGGTGGTGAGACCTGCAATGCTCTATGGCGCTGAATGTTGGCCTTTAAAAGAGAAGCATAATAATAAGTTAAGTGTTGTCGAGATGAGAATGATTAGGTGGATGAGTGGCTTTACACTTAGAGACAAAATGCGGAATGAATATATTCGTGATAGGGTTGGTGTAGCTCCTGTGACAGACAAAATTAGAGAAAGTCGTCTTAGATGGTTTGGTCATATTAAACGTCGACCATTAGATGATCCGATTAGGAGAGTAGATGTTTTAAATTCGACTTGTGTTAAGAAAGGCAGAGGTAGACCTAGGAAGACTTGGGCTTATTGTATTAAAAATGATCTTAATTTACTAGAACTAAATGAAAATATGACACTAAATAGGACGCAATGGAGAAAAAGGATTCATGTAGCCGACCCCACGTAGTGGGATTAAGGCTTTGTCGTTGTTGTTGTTGTTGTTGATGGCTATCAAATTAAATCAATTTTTGGTGCTCGTTAAAAAAGGCTAATAACAATTACAACTCACAGAGTCACAACAGAGTAAATGTTGTTTAGTTCCTTGCATACTAAAATAGGCTTATCAAAAAAAAGAAAGTTGAAAAAATTAAAAAAATAATGAACAGTAAGAATATAGGAATGACACTTAGGTATTCAGTTAACATCAACAAAACAAGGACTTATATCCACATTAGTCGAATAAACATCAATGTTTAAGTCCTCTGTTCCGCCAAAAGAATAAGTTCAGGCATGTAAAATTTTCAATTGGCAAAATAATTATGGAATATTTACATACACACCACTCAATTCCTATGTATTTACATAAATAACACCTAGACTTCAATTTTAGCATATATGCTGCATCCTTACCTTTGCATGAAAGGGTGCATTTTTCATGTTTTAAAAGTTAATATGGTGGCATTTTTTATGTGATATGAAGATTTGCATAGTATTAACGTCAAAAGTAAAAGTTTAGGTGTTAGATATGTAAACACATAGGAATGTCAATGTGCCGATAATTGTTTAAGCTTCACTGTTTGACTCGTGAATCGCCCATTTGTAATAGTTAAGTAACCAAACATACTCAAAATTAATAAAAAGGAAAGCAGTGGTGAAGCAATTTTTAAATAAGTAAAATAAAGGAAAGGATGATTTACATGCATACCACTCAATTCCTATGTATTTACATATCTAACACCTAAACTTCAATTTGTACATACATGCGACCTTACCTATGCATGAAAAGGTGCATTTCACATTTTAAAAGTTAAAATGGTGGTATATTTTATGTGCTATGAAAGATTTGGGTGGTTTAAATGTAAAAAATAAACATCAGGTGTTAGATATGTAAATACATAAGATTTGGTTGGTATGCATTGAAATGCTCTAAATATAATGGGAAATATACATACATACCCCACAATTCTTATGTATTTACATATCTAATACCTGAAGTTTGATATTTATACTTACAACACCTTGAAGTCATAAACTTATGCATTAGTAGGTCTATTTCACTTTCAAAAATGTATTGATGGTGGTGGTTTTGAGCTGACGTTAAAACTTTGAGTGGTATGTATGTAAATATGAATGTTTAGGTGTTAGGCATGTAAATACATAACAACTGTGTGGTATGTATGAAAATACCCATAATATAAATTCACTGGTTGAGATGTGAGCAATCACTTCTCAGATCGGTCAACGAGTCATCCCAAATAAAAATACATAAAAACAGGAACAGGATAAAAAGAAGCATGTATTTACACTGTACCTTAAGAAACAAGTTACCTGAATATCTCTTCCCCAGTCAACAGGATCACTGACAATAAACGTCGCTTTTACAGCATCTGAGTCAACATTGAGACTAGAGTGCAATTCATCAACGTTTTTTGTAATTTCGTAAATTTGATTAATTCTCCAACTTTTGTACTGAGACAGGGGGTCAATGTCCTTTAAAAATGATGCATAGTCATCAATAGAAAGAACTTTTCTGCAAATAAAAGTAAGAGGTTACATAAATACCACCCATTTCTACATATTTACATATTGAACCCCTAAAGTTTGATTTTTTACATTAATACCACGCAATTTTTTCCTATCACACAAAAAATACCACTAATTTAACTTATAAAAAGTGAAATAAACCTTTTTATAAATTAGCAAGGTGGCATGTATGTAAAAAATTGAAGTTTAGGTGTCAGATATGTAAATACATAGGAACTGAGTGTCATGTATGTAAATATTGCGAAAAGTAATTATTGAACTATGCTGAGGTATGCAAAGAGAATGTGTGGCCTAAATCAGAAAAAAAATAACATAAATAAAAAATGATTTAATCTTACTTGAACCCATATTCCAACATCACTTTAGCAGGCTCCCCTTTACCAACAGCTACAATAAGGTCATTCTCAAATCTGTTGCAGTGAACATCAGAAAAAAAAAAACTTTAGATGAAGACCTTTGTAGACAAAAAAAAAAGAACGGGCCATCTCCGTTTCACAACACCTATTAAAAAATAGGTAAGTACATAAATACCATATAATACTAATATATTCATAGATCTAACATCTAAACTTTGATGTTTGCTTATATAACATTTTACAGTCTCAATCACATCACAACATATGCAAAAAAGGAGTACTTTACTTCAGAAAATTTATATTAACTGTTCTATTGTTGTGATGTTAAAGATTTAGGTATCATATAAGTAAAAGGAAAAGTGTAGAAATGGTCCCCAGACGCTTCATAGAGGTCACATTAGTCCCAGAGTTTATAAAAATATCAATTTAATCTCCATGCTCTTTTAATATGGGTTAAAGTAGTCCTCAACGAGAGCTATTTTATGCCACATTAAAAAAGTCTAAGAACTAATTTAGCACTTCTACAAACTCTTGGGACTAAAAGAGCCTTATAAGAATGGTCACTAAACCATTTTGGCACTTTACAAGTAAATATCTAAGTTTAGGTGCTAGACGTATAAATACATAAGAATTGTGTAGTATTTATGTAAATTCCCCTAAAAACAAAACAATCTCTGAAGAAAATATGCAAACCTGCTCAGCAGATTTCGGAAAGGTGAATGCCCTAGAACAACCTGCATAGTGCGAGAAAAGCCTTCTTAGATAGATAAACTGAAAGACCAAATAACAAAATCTAACAAATATTATCAAGATTTTTATAATAAAATGTCAACATTTTGATTTCCTTTAACTAATGGCAGGCCCTACAGTACTTGCTATAAAAAATCTGCAGTCATATTCCAAGTACAAAATCATAATTAGGACTAACATTAAAGCTAACGGTAATTGATATGAGGATAATACTTGGAAGATTTACATACATGTCACTCAAATTTTATGTATATACATATCTATGCCTAAACTATAATCTTTACATGCATATCACCTTATCTATAGATGAAAAGGTGTATTTCACATTTTAAAAGTTAAAATGGAGGTATTTTACATGTGATAAGCAAGATTTAAGTGGCATAAATTTAAAAAAGTAAAGTTTAGGTGTTAGATATGTAGATACATAAGAATTGAGGGATATATATATGTAAATGTTCCATAATACTTCTCAGTAATTACAGTGTGGCATAAGAACTGCATTTTAGCACACAGCTTTTTAAATTAAGGAAAAAGTTTTAAAAGATGTTCATATCCAAGTTCGGTGGATTCTGTAAATATATCAATTGTAGAAATTCAGTCACTTTTGCAAGAATGCAAATGCAACATTTACCTGCAAGGGTGAAATTTGAACCCCCAAAAGCCCACTTAATTCACAAGCTCGTTTAGATTCCGGAACTCCACCACCTATGGGAAGAAAAGAATATCAAAATCAACTTAGTTCATAAATATCATAGAACCAAAAGATTATAGGAGTATTTAAATACATGCCACCCAATTCCTATGTATTTACATATTTAACAGCCAACTTTATTATTTAGAATTATTATATCACCCAAATCTTTCGTATCACGTAAAAAATACTACCATTTTAACTTGAAAGAAAATTAAAATACACCTTTCCATGTATAGGTAAGGTGATTTGTATGTAAAAATTGAGGTTTAGGTGTTAGATATGCAAATAGATAAGAATTGAGTGGTAACCAAGGTTGTGAAACCAGACCGGACATCAAACCGGAAGAAGGAAGGGTCCAAGATTCAAGGTTCATTAGTTTGACCGGGGTTGAACCGAATTACATAATAAATATAAAAATTAATTAAATATCATCTAAATAATACAATAATAATATAATAATAATATAATAATAATATAAAAATATAAATAAATAAATAAACAAAATACTTCTGAGTATATTAATAATAGAGCCATCAAACTCTCTACTCTCTTCATAAGAGAAGCTAGCCCTATTCCTAAAATAATTTTTAATATTCAATATATATATAATATTAATCCATAAAAAAATATAAATGAAAATATGTATTTCACAAAAAAACTTAATTATAATAGTACTTTTAATATGATTTAAAAATTTGAGTGTGACAACAAATATATAAATACATAAGAAGTAGTGATAAGTAAGTCTTCCTTTTTTCATAAATTTAAACACTATTGCTAAAACTTAATAAATAGTATATGGAAGGATTTGAGGCTAAAATAAAACCAAATGGCATTTAAAGTTATTAAAAAAGTTTAAAAGCACCATTAATTCATTTTAATCTCTAAACTAATATATATGTATTTTAAAAGAAAATTGATATTTGGCAGAGGCCCAAGTATCGATTTCTCATGCATTTTTTTGTCCTATGATGAGAGTTTGCGCCATGTGCCTAAAATTCTATAGCCCCCGCGCCACGGTGGGATCGAACCCTTGACCCAAGGGAACTTACAGTAACCCCGCCACTAACAGGTCAAGGCTTGCGGCATGTGTGTGTGTGTGTGTGTGTGTGTGTGTGTGTGTGTGTGTGTGTGTAAATTTGAAAACGGCCAACCCATACTTCGGAATTCGACGCATCAGCATTTATGTGATGTTTCTTTTTGTCTTTTTGAAATGGACAACTGGGCCAACACATAGATTGATGAGGGAAAAAATATAAAATAATATTTATGGTTTGAAAAACGAAGGATTCGGTTCTCCGATATGCCAATTGAACCGTCGGTTTGACGCCAAAAACTGTCCATTAAGTGCTTCGGACCGAACCAACCACCGACCGGTTCACGATCAAACCGGTCGAACCGGCAGGTCCGATCCAATTTTTTAAACCTTGGTGGTAAGTATGTATATCTTCCAAAATTTCAAATGGAAATAAAATCCAGAAGATGAAAGATTTAGTTATCTGGAGCAATTAATATAAGAATATAAAAGGAATATAAGTGAAGTGAAAGCTGATAAATATATCCAAAAATTGTTCAAAAATTTATTTACCCCATTAACTATGTGACTCGTGTGGCTCATTAGTAATTTTATAATAGCAAATCTTATATAGCGTAAGCTAATGAATTGCTTAATATTTTCTTTCAAGAAAAGAAAATATCAGTAAATATGGTGATGATGATTGATCCTTTTAGCCAACTTGGAGTATTTGTTACCAATTCATGAAAACTCGTGTGAATTGAAGGTTCAAACATTTTTAGCATATCCGTTTAAGTTTTATTTAGTATAAATTGAGGGAATTAACCAAAGAATAAAAGACAATGAAGAAAAAAATAAAACTAATTAATTTAAGCAATGATTCATTCAAAACATAGTTTAGATATTACAGAAATTATTTCATAAAATTTGAAATTTTATTTGGATTGATTATACATTTGGTTGAATTGTTCTAAATTTATTGGGATGTGAAAATGCTTTATTATTTTAAGATTAAATCTCAAAATAATCCCCACCATTCGTGTGTGTCCAATTTAATACAGAAGTATCATATTTCTTCAATTTAGTCCATTAAAAAGTTGATCTAAAAGGGTACTTCCTATAAAAATTCTCATTTTGCATATCTTCTTTGTGGATTCATTGGCATATGGATAGACATACGGAGCAACTAATCATTGCATATGATATTATGACAACTCTATTTAGGGCATTTACATATATACCGCCCAATTCCTATGTATTTACATATTCAACACCCAAACTTTATTTTTTACATCTATACCACCCAAATCTTTCATATCACATAAAAAATACTATTAGTTTTACTTTTAAGAAGTGAAATACGCATTTTCATGCAATGGAATGCACCTTTCCATGCATAGGTAAGGTTGCGTGTATGTAAAAATTGAAGTATATCTGTTAGAAAGGTAAATACATAGGAATTGAGTAGTATGTATGTAAATCTTCTTTCTTTTAATACAAAACAGCAAAAACACCATATCAACATAGCAATACAAAATAAAGCCTTACTAGATTGGGGGAAAAAAAAGAAAAAAACTTAGAATAGCCTTCAGATGCAGAAGAAAAAATTTACTTTCAACATGGTCTGAAAAATCATCTCATACTCAAAAATTTCGAAACAACGTGAAGCAAATACTTAAACTTTTCTGGCTTCATCAGGTATATTTAATGATCATCAAATATAAAAGGTAGCATGTTGTAATAAAAAGTCAGAAAAGACTAGAATGTAATGCTTACCATTGGTTAAGAATATATATGGAATCTTCAAGCTGCCTGTGTAGAATGAAAAAAATGATCAGTGAGTTTCTGTTATTGATTTTTTTTTTATTCAAGTTTATCAATTAATTACCCAAAAATGAGAAAAATAATCTTGAGAAATGATGCCTATTTTATGAGAAACATATGCTTAAGGGGCTCTATGGTAATGGATTTAAAAGTTTTAGCATATCTTGTAAATCCAAATTTACTAAATCATGCCAACAACAAAATTTAGTAAATTCAGAATTTAAGACACAATTGAGAAGAAATTGGATTTACTAAATCCTGGATCTAAAATTGTCATTTTTTTCTGTCTGGCAAGATTCAGCTTAATTCAATCTGTTACCATACAACCCCTAATCGTGTACTAATTTTAAATGCAAAAACACAACATAAAAAAAAAAAAAAACGGTGCAAGAATATAAATGAAAATGTAGGGCAACTGATAGTTCTCTAACCATCTTGTTTGAGCTTGCATTTAGATCCATTATTTTTCAGAAACTGCACTGTTTGATATTTTTGAAGCATAACCATCAAACTAATCCTTTTTTTTTTTTTTTTTTATAATTAGCTGTTGTTGACAAACCTTGAAACTTACATGGCCATCGACATAATTTTTTAAGAATAATGAATTAGGATACCACCTTTTTTTTTTTTTTTATCTGAGATGCCAAAGATACCATGAACAAAAATTGTGCAAAAAAATTTATTGAACAATAGCTAACAGCTCATGTGAAAATCAATATGAATGAACGGATACCATGCAATTGTTATGTATTTACATATCTAACTCCCAAAGTTTGATATTTAAACTTATAAAACCTTGGTGTCATAAACCAATACATGAAAAGGTGTATTTTACTTCTTAAAAAATGGTGATGGTGGTATTTTTTATGTGATATAAACGATTTAAGTGGTATGCATGTATATATAAGTATTTAGGTGTTGTAAATGTAAATATATAACAATTATGAGGTATGTATGTAAATGCACCTTAATTTTTTATAGAACAATATAACATAAGTTATTAAAAAAACTCATTGCCATGTTAAAATGAGCTCCTTCTCTTCCTAAAAAGCCCGGAAAAAGGGAAATTTATATACATAGCACACAATTCTTATGTATTTACATAGCTTACACCTGAACTTTCATACATAGCGACATAATACAACAGCTTACACTCATCTGTGACCGTATTTGCAACCTTCACATGGGCAAGTGGTCCCCCACGTCCTTGCCATAACCAACTGATGAAATCATCACCACTTATTCCAATCAAACATTAGTATATATACACCGCACTCATGTACTCATTGGGATGTGAATAAGAATACATTGAATTTTGTATTACTTCCTACTGCCATTACTGATTTCCTGTATCCTAACTTTTTCCTTTCCTGGAAGTACCTTGCAGATGTATTTCATCATGGTATTAGAGCCATAACGGCTTCCTTCTTCCTCTTTTTAAATAGTAGTAGTTCCTATCCTACCTCAACTCTTAATGGCTTTTCATCTCATTCATACCAAGTTGAATCTACTTTTCTAGAGCACATTACTACTATCTCTATCTCACCATCACTGAAATTCCTAATAATCAGCATCAAATTCCTCGTTAGCACAACTCTCACAGTTGATAATGATCTCATTTGGAGTATTCAAATCATCAAGTTGTTCACTGCTACTGGCTTTGACGGTTTCTTGACTAGAAATTCAGCCTGTCCATCTCAATTTCTCCACAACAGCACAACCACTCATTCTCCCAATCCAAACTACATACTATGGAAACTCAGATCAAAACACAGCCACATCATTGTACTCAACCATCTCTCCCACTATACTACCTCATGTCCTCTCCCTTGGGATACACTCACCAAACGCCTATAGTCTACCAACAAATCTAAGGTTATAACAAAAACGAAATTCATCATGTCACAATCAAGACTGAGACTATGACCCAATACCGCACTCACATTTAGTCACTGGTAGACCAATTACCATCAGCTAGATACAAGCTAGATATAGAAGACATCATGCTTTATATTCTTAATGGTCTACCAACCACATATCAGTCATTCAAGACAGCAATCTGGACAAGATTAGAGCCATTCAACTAGATGACCTCTACTCACTTCTCTGCTGTGAAATCCAAGCTGAAAACGCCAAGCTGAAAACGCCAAGCAACAAATAGTGTCATTAATGGCTGTCCTGTCATATGATGGGCGCAACTCCAGACCAACAAACAATAGATGTGGAAGGCATTCATCTCAGACTCCACGCCCTTCCGGCAATACAACCCATGTGCAACAGCGAACCAAATCTCCAATTACTTGCCAGATCTGTGGCAGGAAATGTCACTCCACCTACATATGTTGGCACAGAGCCAACACGTCGTATACTCCAACAACACCAAACAGCAACTCAGCATTGATAGCCAATTCATCTCACAATACAAAAGACTAGATTCTGGACAGTAGAGCCTCTTCTCACCTCACCAATGATTATACACAACTGCAGCAACCCATAGAATACACTGGATCAGAAGAAGCCATCATCCTCCTCATTTCCAACACAAGCAGTGGAATATTAGCTACACTAGCTTGTAAGCTCACTCTCTCCATCCTACATCATGTTCCCTCACTATCACATAATCTCGTGTCAGTTCATGACCTTACACAAGATAATCAGTACTCAATTCACTTTGATGATGATGATTCTCAAATATAGGACCGGCGATCCAATGAAACAATCCTTAGGGGGAGCAGCAGCAAAGGACTACATTACATTCCAGGCATCCAAGCTCTCCATTCCACCACAACCTCCATCAACCTATCGCATCAAAGACTGGGACCTCCCCATCAAGCAACAATTCATAACATATCACAACAGTATCCTCATCTACACATTCTAGTTTCTTCTCTTTTTTATAATTCGTGTAAGGCTTCTAAAAGCCAAAAATTACCTTTCCGTACATCTAGTACTAGATCTAAACAACTGTTTCAACTACTACACCTTAATGTATAGGGTCCAGCCCCAATTCTATCTCCAAATGGCTATAAATACTATGTTATCTTCATTGATGATTATAGAGGGCTATTTCCCATGACCCTAAAATCAGAAACACTTAACAAATTCATTCACCTCCAGAAACTAAAAACAAATTAATTCAACACCACCATTAAAATCTTACGATCTGATGATGGAGGAGAATATACACCAAACGACTTCAAATCATAACTTCAATCTCATGGAATAAAACACCACGTCAGCTGCCCTACACCCAAGCAAAAGAGGCAGAACACAAACACTAACACCTCCTAGAGACCACTCGAACTCTCCTGACAATCTACATGCATCAGCCACCCAGTTTCAAAGATTCCCAATGCCCCCTATATGTTTGCAAGCTAAGGAAAACTATCTATAGGCTCAAGCAAGCTCCAAATCAATGGGATTCCACATTCTCAAGTTATCTCAAAGAACAAGGGTTCAAACTCAGCTCGGCAGACTCATCACTACTACTTCACAGATAACCACTCACACTACCTACCTACTCATCTATGACAACAACATATTAATTATAGGAAATGACACAACCTCTATACAACAACTTATTCACAGTCTACCAACAGATTCAATCTCAAAAAATTAGGCCCCATCTCCACATTTCTAGGCATTTATTTCCAACAAACACCTCAGGGCTACTTTCCACACCAAAAAAACTACATTCTATAACCACTTTACAAAACAGGAATGCAAAACTACAAACCAGTCTCTACACCTACACTCAACAAACCTCCGACCAATCCCCAATCCAGTCAAGCATTTTCAGATGTCACACTACATAGATAACTAGTTGGAACGCTACAGCACCTAACCCTCACGAGATCGAACATCGCCTTTGTCATCAACCAGATATGCCAGCACATGCAATCTCCCTTCAATCAACACTATCACATAATAAAAAGAATACTCATATACTTTCAGACTATTACCAAGCATGGCATTGCTATCATAAAGGGAGATCTCACCTTGACTACATACTATGATGCGAATTGGGCAGCAGATAACGCTGACAAGAGATCCATAACAGGCTATAGATTTCTATTGGGTTCCACACCAATTCTCTGAAGAGTCCCAAAATAAATAATAGTCGCTCAATCATCAACTAAGTCGGGTTATCGCTCCCTCGCATCAACTACAATAGAACTAGTCTAGCTTTATCGTCTCCTCCAAGAGTTGGGACTCTCTCTGGAATAACCAACTCAACTTCTCTGTGATAATACCTCCACGATTACTATAGCCAACAACCCAATGTTTTGTAGACAAACCAAACACAACAAAATTGGCTTTCATTTTATTCGGGACCATATTGCCTATAAGAATATACAAATCTAACATTTAACCACAGAAGACTAACTGGAAGATGCCCTTATAAAGAGTTTCTCCATTTCAAGATTCCATAAACTAAGAAACAAATTCAAGGTTTGACCACTAAAATCCTAAGTTTGGGGAGGCTTGATACAACAGCTTACACTCATTTTAACATATTTCCAACTTTCACCGAGTGATCCCCCTTATCCTTGCCATAAAAACCTGATTAAATAATCACCACTGATGCTAATCGTACATTACAATATATACACCATACTCATGTACTCATTGGGTGGTGAATAAAAATATACTGAAATTTGCATTGCTTCCTACTACCATTATTGATTTCCAATATGTCAACTTTATCCTCTCCTAAAGGTATCCTACAGGTGTATTTCATCGAATTGCACGTTGGTGCTTTAAACCTAATCATGAAAACGAGCATTTCTTTTTAAAAAAAGGGGTAATAGTGCTATTTTTTTTATGTCATATTAAAGATTTGAGAGCTACGTGCTTAAATTTGAAAGTTGATGTGTGAGATATGTAAATACATAAGAATTATAGCTATGTATGTAAGAGTAGAAAATAAATTGCAGCAAACAAGCTTTTCTAGTTTCAGAGAAGATAAAGGTCGGCATATGCTGGAAGTGAATTAGCACTGAAAAGAATAAGAGAATCACAAGTTCAGCCACAGATTTTGCTTTCTTACTAGGACCAAGTATATTTCTTGCTCAGAAAAGAGATAAAATAAAATAAAATCTGATCCCCGCTTAATTGGAAAAGAATGCAAATTAGCCTAAAAGAATGAAGAATCCTTCCCCACCGTCCTCGGCATATAGTCTGCTCAATGCCTGAGGAGAACCGCCAATGGGATCACCGCCTCGAATGATAACACCGTCAATGTCGAACGCAATACCAAAGGATGGCCTGCAGATCGTCCATGGATGAATCCAGCAGCGGAAACAATTTGCGTAATTAAAAAAAAAAACGATGAATGCGAGTTCGGAATCTGAGAAGACCTCCGTCCTTGCGGCCTTGAATGGGAATACAATCGGCGGAAGAGCAGCGACGAGGCCTTGATCTGCGATGCCCGGAAAAAAGAGCGAAACCTCATTTCCGCCGATCTCGTCGGAGGTCCGACGCCGGTTTACGGATTTAGGTGAGGCTAAGGGTCTGGTTATGGAATAATTTGCTTCTAAGCTGATTAAAATAATTTATGGATAAGCTAGGGTTTTGATAATTATTATAATTTTTTTTTATTTTTATCATAAAATTGATAGTGTGAAAACACTATTTTCAGCGTTTTCAAAACGCATAAGCTGTCAAAATGCAGTTTACCCAACAGTCAAGATGCGTTTTCAAAAAGCCACTGCACCAAATAAGCTGACCCAAACAGACCCTTATAAGGAGCATTTACATTTATACTGCTCCTAGGCTAATTGGGAGATCTACCGTCACAAGAAACAAAGTATCATAATTGAGGATATGAGATACATTTATTCAATTGGATATACCATTAATGTCAAAAAAAAAAAAAAAAAAAAAATTGTTTGAGCTAAGAGTAGGATAAAAAAATGATCAAATAATCTAAGTCTGAATCAATTAAATTAAAATAAGACAGATAATGATCCGAGTTAATCACTACAAAAGAAGTCAATCGAAGTAGGTAATCGACCTCCAGCTAGTTCGCTTTAAGAAAAGACTCGGTTCCTCAATATCATCAGTCATTACATGGACTCTCCTCAAGCTCGTTGCCATGAATCATGAATTGATAATGCAGCATAGTCTTATTGTTATCTCACAAGCACTCCTAATACAAGTTTTATATGATTCAGCTTATGTTTGATAGACTAGTCTCGCTCTGTCGATATTAGATCCTTATCCAAAAATCGAAGATCAACAACCAAACTAGATCAACTAATCGACAAAGCTTAGTCGATCAAATTAATCTTGCTGACTTTAAGTTAATCAAGTTTAATAGGTGATACACAAAAAATATATGTATTTTTAGACTCATACTTTTATACTTATTTTTTGTGATATTGCACTTTAATGGAAGATATTTTGATGTTTTATTGCAGGTTGTTGATTTTTATGGCTTAAAGTAAAAAAAAGAAGCAAAAATGATGGAATTTGGAGTCAAAATGAAGTTTTTTAGGAAATACTCAGAGCCGGCAGTGCCAAGGTCAGCGCCGACGGCGCAGAACAACTGAAAGCTGGAGGATTTTTACTCAAGAGGATTTTACTCAGCGCCGACGATGCCAGACTAGGGCCAAAGGCGGTTCAGACCACGTTTCTAGAAGGTTCGATGTATTTAGACGATTTTTAAAGAGTTTTTGTAAGCACGTCTTGGAGAACCGACATTGGGGGATAAATTCATGAAAAAAAAATTATCTCGTTGGGGGATAAATTCATCCATGGATTAATGACCACCCTTTACATTAAATGTTTAGTAATTAAGTTTTTAATTGGGTTGTTTATCCATCTAATACCATGCCAAAAGGCATTACTATCATTGTGAGATGTTTTTTTTCCTCCTAATATGCACAAGCTCATTTCCCTGAATTGATTCACAATGTCTATATTCTTATGAATCAGCTCACTTGTTTATGGAAAAGTAGATCTCCTCTCATGAGTTAGTTTAACATTTTGTTCACAAAGTATTCCCTACTGTGAAGTGAAGAAAATTGGTTTGGTTTATAGGGCAATCCACCAAGTTTGCTGTTAGTTTCTTAAGGATTATTCATGGTGGCTTAAAGATCAAGGATTCCCTTCTCAATTTTGGAATTATAGCTAACTGTCAATGTATTTTATGTATTGTTGGATTAGAATCTCAACACCATCTTTTCTTTCAATACCTTTTCTTCCACTCCTTACTTAGAAGTAACATACTTAAGGGGTAATTTTTTCTCACATAAAGCAACTTCTTTTATGCTCTTCATTCATTTAATACTTTCAATGACAACTTTAAAATATTCTATCTACTTGCTGCGGATGTCGCTGCTCATCATACTTGGAACGAAAAAACAGGGTTTTTAGGAACACTTCTTCTTCTTTTGAGGCTATTATTAAGAATATTTTTTGGACTATTAAGTTGAAGTCAAGGAAATAAAAATTTAAGCATGTTATCCCATCCCTCATTGAGGATCTATATTGGTTACAACTTTTGCAGCACTTTAGTTTCTTGATTCGAGTTGTTGAGGCTACTACTAAATTTCTATTTTCAACACAATCTTGGTTCATTTTTTGTAGCATGTTGTTTTTGGCAAGCTATAATGATGCCCATCATCCCATGGGGCTCAACCATTCATCTGGTTTCTTAACTTCTTTCCAGCCTTGTTTGGTTTATCTAATTTCCTTTGATATGTTCTTTGGTTTCTACAACTCCTAGCTCGTTATGTTGTGTGATAAGCATAAATACTTGAAAGAACAAATACTCCATGATCACTTGAGCTGCCTTTACCAGCAGCGACCTCTACTTTGTTCATCGTACTTCTTAGTAGTTCATGCCATCCGATAAGAACAACTTCACCTTTAATGTTTTATTCTTAAATGTATTATTTCTCTCGTCTTTTTAGAGGCACCTTCTTAATTGCTCCAGCCATGCCCTATTCGTCAGAACTTACTTTCATGTCTATGCATGGTGTTTCTCTTTACGGTTTCATGAGTTAAGAGCTCTTATATTTTGATTTTTTATTGCCTCATTTATTTTTAATTTTTTTCTTTTTTCTTCATTCTATATAAATTTTAGTGGAACATATCAAACAAATTTATAGAATTAAAATTGATTTATTAAATAAATTGTCAAATAATTTTGGAGATAAATCAGAATTTAAAGGATTTAATAATCCCACCAACTTAAAATCCCATTTTTTGCCACATAGTCCCTTACAGTCCCGCTTCCCTTTACCCGCAGCCAGGCCATGGCGATCAACCTCGCTATCAGCGCCCCTTGTCTCCCTCCCCGGCCATCCCTAATCTACCGGAGCGCTTCCGCTCCTCCGAGTAACCCTAGCTATCCATCTCTCGTAGTATTTTCTTACCACACCAAGAAGAGCTACTGCTTCTCCCGCTTCCTCCTTCCGATTCCTTACGCCGCTGGTTCTTCTGGTAACATCCAGCTGCTCTTCTCGTTCTCGTCACCATATATTTAGTTTAGTTCTTTGAAAAAGTAATGTCAGGGAAGAATATACTGTTTGTTCGCTTTATTGATTCAATCTGCTTAAGTTCTCATTTCTCCATGGCGGTTTCTTCCTATTCATTCTTTATTTACTTCTGCTGCTAAGATTCCTGCGTGTCAGAAGAATTTTATGCAGCTGAAAGCATGGGGTTCATCACGAATATAAATTTGGGCAGGTACTGCATCCATTACTGGCGACAAGGATATTTCAAATTCATTGGAGAAGGTAGAAGTTTACGATTTAACGGGCAAAGCTGTTCCGATAATTGATTTGTGGAGAGACAGAAAAGCCATAATTGCATTTGCTCGCCATTTTGGGTGAGTGATGAAAATTTTTAATACATTTTTGTAGGAAAAGTTGTACATTTTTTTTGCAAATTTTAAACAGATATTAATTTAATTTTTCACTGTATTGTCCAGCTGCGTTCTGTGCCGCAAGCGGGCTGATGTTCTTGCTTCTAAGAAGGTTTGCGATCTGTTGAGTATATGCTCTATCACACGTATTTTTAATGCCAGCAGTAATTAGGGCTGTTTGGTTTATTGGCATCTCGATGTACATGTTATTAAGAGATCAGATACCAGATGCTTGATTTGATGAATTTTGTAAATTTTAAACGAGGCATTTGCATACATACCACCCACACAATTCCTATATATTTACTTATCTAGCAAGTAAACTTTGTTTTTTTACATTTGTATCACCCAAATGTTTAATATCACTTCAAAAGTGCCACTATTTTAATTTTTAAGAAGTGCAATACACATTTTCATGCCTAGGCAGGGTGACATATTTGTAAAAACTGAAGTTTAGGTGCTAGCTATGCAAATACATAAGAAATGAGTGGTATATGTGCAAATCTTCCATTATGATTTTATAGTTGATTTTTATGTCCTAATTTAGTGATATCGGAATGTTAGAAAACATTATTTGACATTATTTGATATCTTGAGGTGTCCTAATATCACAATGGTTCACTATCTTCAATTCAATAACATTGACAAATAGCACAAAAATCTAATAATACTAACTTCTAAATTACACAACTAAAGAGACCACCTTCACCATTTGGTAGTCATTATGTTATTTGCCCAACTAAGTTGATTTAATTAAAAAAGTTGGCATATTTAAAGACACGATCAATATCTCTGAAGCGAGCTATAATGCTTCAGTCTCAGTTAAAGGAAATAATTTTAATTAACACCCCCAATAGTTGGGCTCATTTTTAAGAGCAATGTTTGTTATTTCTTACAAGCTACTCCTTAATTTTAATTTTTTATTTTTTTCTAAAACACAAACACTTCAAAATTTTCAAGATTGTTAAATTTAGTACATTTTTTCAAAATTATACCAAATTATAATAAAATTGCTACAATTATCTTGAATCTTGGCGATTATATTAAGTTTGAAGAGTTGCCTTGAATGTTGTGGAACCCCAATAAAGTTAATGATGTGAATCCTTGTAATTTTACCAAAGTTTCACCAAATTTGTAATTAAACTTGATGTCGTTTATACTAACACTTTTAATAGAATTCTAACGAATTATTGACCTAAGTTAGTTAATAAAATTGCGCCTAACCTTGGTAATGGTATTTGATGTCTTACAAATCTCTGTAATTAATGAATTTACTGGTGTGATTTTGTAAAACCTTGATAAAATTAACAAAGCTAGTTTGGTGGATCAAAGGACGTTTGATTGAGGTTTATCGAAAGTTCTATATCAAGTAAGGAATTATTGGTTGAGTCTATTGAAACTTATGTTTTGATAATATATGAAATTGACAAAATTTTTCGCTTTATCGACCAAATACTATATTAGAATTGGCTAGGGCCTAATGTTGGGATACCCTTGTTGGGATCTCATATGTATATTTGACTTGTAGGTCTCAATAGATATCAACACAGTGTGAACCTGATAAGTTAAATTGGAGACAAATTCGGGCTACTTTGAATTGAAGGAATATGATAAAATTAAAAATTAATTTAAAGTATTTTCTTTATAAAATATAAAAATCTATCGGTGCTATTTGCTATTCTTTTTTACAAAGAAGCTAGACTGTGGAGAATTTCATATAAATTTTTTTTTATATTTTCTTTTTCCATAACTTTCTTAATAGATATAATTTTACGTACTTTTGGTTTTCCAAATCAATTGAAACCACTAGTTTCATGTTTAACAATGTTCTTGGCCATAAATTAGCTAGGAGGCGTGACCAAACATACGATCCATGATATAAATAGGTAAATGTTTCTTTCCATTATAACTGGCAATTGTATGACCAATCGTTGTGGGTATAATGGTAGATGCCTGTGACCAAGTCACTATGATTTCTTTCTCCTCCCTCATGTTGAGTTTTTCAACTCTTCTCAATAAATCATTAGTTTTTTAGTAAACGTGTCACAGGCCTCGCCATTTCTAGTTTTAAGTAGGGAATGTATTTGCTACTTATTAAGGAAAACTTATGGGCTAAAAAGCTTTCCTTAAATGATGTCTAACTTGCATTTAATGCAACTAGCTAAATCAACATTTTGTCAACGAAAGAATGAGTAAAAATACATTCAAGGAAGGTGACAAAATAATTTGTTGGTATCTAAGTGTGTAGCTGTCGCACTTTGGGTCCGGAAGGCGGTACGCCCCATAAACGCAAGACATAAGGAAATAAAATGAACCTGTTTGTATTTTCAAAGAAAAACTTGCATGTAAATTAAAAAAAAAATGTAAATTTTGTTAATACTGAAAAGTTCAATGATACAACTGAACTTAAAATAAAAACTAGTTGAATCAAAATAAAAATGATAACATGGAAAAACTACCCATACCTAATGAGGAAAAATACAATAGCTAAAGCAAATAAAAAAAAATGCCAAGACAGGAAAACCTAAAATTGAAAAGCCTACTCCGGTGGTGACGATCCTATTGGTGGTTGAATAAAACATATTATGCAAAAATATCAAAGAATGAATTTGACAAACAAACTTAATAAGTAACAACTATTTATTAAAGCATAAACGACAAGAGAAATGCGACATGCAATATGAACAACAAATAAGGATGAATATTTCGTGCATATATAAGATCATGAAGCAAAAAGAGAGTAGTAAACCATATATGTCCAAAAATTATAAGGAAACATGTAATCAAGTTTCTTATTATTATATTTTTCATTTATATTTAAATAATCGATTTTAGACACCCTAAAACTGGAAAAGCAAATACGAATCTAAGGAAACATGACGATTTCCTGTAGAGTCGTTATTCTGGGAGCCCGTCTGCCCAACTAACAAATACAACAACAACAACAACAACAACAACAACAACAACAAAGCCTTAATCCCACTACGTGGGGTCGGCTACATGAATCCTTTTTCTCCATAGCATCCTATTTAGTGTTATATTTTCATTTAGTTCTAGTAAATTAAGATCATTTTTAATACAATAAGCCCAGTCTTCCTAGGTCTACCTCTTCCTTTCTTAACACAAGTCGAATCTAAAACATCTACTCTCCTAATCAGATCATCAGACGGTTGACTTTTAATGTGACCAAACCATCTAAATGGTTGAAGCTGCATGTAGAGACGACTTTCATTTCGCATTTTGTCTCTAAGTGTAAAGCCGCTCATCCACCTAATCATTCTTATCTCGACAACACTTAACTTATTGTTAGTTATGCTTCTCAAAGGCCAACATTCAGTGCCATATAACATTGCAGGTCTCACCACCGTTTTATAAAATTTTCCTTTCAGTCTAAGCGGTACTATTTTATCACATGAAAGGCCCGAAACATTCCTCCACTTCAACCAACCAACTTGAATTCTACTATTAAAATCCTCATCTATATCACCATCGCTTTGAACAGCTTTGAACAACGGGCTTTGAACAACGGACCCAAGTTATCTAAATCGTTCACACCTTTTAATAATTTGATCACCCAAAGTCACACTTTTGTCACTAGAGCTATATTTACTAAAATTACATTCCATGTATTCAGTTTTAATTTTACTTAAATGAAGACCTTTAGACTCCAATGTAGACCTCCGTAATTCAAGTTTTTACTGGGCTTTTTCTCTCGTTTTTATCCACGAGAAGGATATCATCAGCAAAAAGCATACACCAAGGTACATCCTCCTGTAGATGTCCAGTAAGACCATCTATAACTAAAACAAAAAGATATGGGCTTAAAGCCGATCCCTGATGTAATCCAACAGAAATAGGAAAAGGATATCTCTTGGAACCTTATCGTAAGCTTTTTCTAAATCAATAAAAATCAAATGTAGATTCTCCTTATTATCTCTGAACTTCTCCATCAAAGCTCTCAATAAATGTATAGCTTCCATAGTAGACCTGCTCGACATAAATCCAAATTGATTATGAGAAATCTTTGTGATACGTCTTAACCTATGTTCAATTACCCTCTCCCATAACTTCAAAATATGACACATCAACTTAATTCCTCTATAATTTGCACACTCTTGTACATCATCTTTATTCTTAAAAATAGGGACCAAAATACTCTTCCTCCACTCCTCATGCATCTTTTTAGTTTTTAAAATAATATTAAAGAGTTTAGTAAGCCAAGAAACTCCCAATTCTCCCAAATATTTCCACACTTCAATTGGGATATCATCAGGTCCTACAGACTTTCCACAATTGGTTTTCTTTAAAGCCTCCTCAACTTCTTTATTACTAATGCGACAGTAAAAATAAATTTTTTTATCATTATTCACGATATTAAGATCACTAAGGTCGATCGTATTTTCAGAAACTTCATTAAAAAATTTATTAAAGTAACTCACTCACCTATGTTGACTATCTTTTTTTAAGAAAAGTACTATTTGATTTTCATCTTTAATACACTTTACTGGAGTTAAATCTTTATTTTTCTTCTCTTTATTTGACTAGTTTATACATTTATTTTTCACCCTCCT